GCCCTATAGCAAAAAACAAACAAACAAACAAAACAAAACAAAACAAACAAACAAACAAAAAAACAAGAAACACTCCAAAAAGAATATAAATAAAATACAAAAAGCAAATCCATTCTTTTTTTTTTTTTTTGAGAGGTTTTCACTATAGGGCACGTATGCTCGCCAGACAGACAGAGAGAGACATAGAGACAGAAAGCGAGAAGTCACCCCCCAGGGGAGATGGTCACACCACAATCCCTTCTCCTCCATTCTCCTCTCGAGATCTTGGGCACACACGCACACACGCCTGGCATGTTTTAAGCCACCGGGTCCAGGACGCGAGCCACGGTCAACTATGTGGGAGTCCAGCGACATAGCCATTACACTAACTGCTGGTTCCCAATCCATTTATTATTAATATATTCATGTATGCAGCAAGTAGTTGTGAGTGCTAATTAATCACAAGGTCTGTCTTAAAGTCGCCTTCTGTATCTTCTCCTTTGGTTGATAATTGCTTCCTAGATTGTATATAAAGTGAAAAATATTCTATTAAAAGTGATGACATAGGCATAATTCAAACATACTTAGAAAACGTAATGACCTTATTTTCCTTACTGCTTTCCATCACAAACTTGAATAAGAGGATTTTTTCTTTTGTTTGGTTGGTTTTTGTTTTGTTTTTGAGGAAAACAAACATCTCTAAGATGTGAAATGTATAGGGAAAAAAGTTACTTATTACTTTTCACAGGTTTATTATTAATTGACATGATTGCTTATGCTGCATAGTTTTCAACCACTCTTTAATTTATCCAGTGATGGGGACCAGCAGATAGCAAAATGCTTACTTTGCTGGACTTTTATGGAGTTGACTACACATCAAGTCTCAGACTCAGTAGCTTAAAATGCATGCCAGGTGTGTGTGCGTGTGCCCAAAATTTTGAGAGAATGGAGAAGGGATTGTAGCATGGCCATCACCCTGGGGGATGATTTCTTGCTTTCTATCTCTCTGGCAAGCACACACACCCTATAGCAAAAATCTCTCTCTCTA